AAAAAAATCCACAATTTCTTAAAAAGGAACTAAGAATTTTAACAGAAACTTTTTTAAACATAATATGTTCTTGTTCTTTGCATCATTTCTGAATATCTTTAGGTAATTACATTAGCCAAATTTCTGAAAAAAAAAGAAAAGAAAAGGAGATTCAACAATAGCTGTGCATGTCTACACAAGGGATTTTTTGCCCAATGGAACCTTTACTTTTTGGGTAAATTTTTTTGGGTAAAAATTTGAGATACACAATACGAAAAAAAACCCCAATCCTACTGTTGTATACAGATGCAGCTTCAAGTTACAAGGAAAACAATAATTTCAAGATGTGAAAAAGGTTGGGATACCATAATGGTTGGTACTAAAATAATAACCTCCTGGAATTAACCAGCAATAATAGCTTCTCCTGTACCTTTTTTCGGCACATGAGGCCTCAGTGCATGACATCAGTTTCCTGGTGAGTTCTATTTGGGTCTGACGAGAAGCGTGTTTATGCTCTATGCCAGCTTCCAGTGGCTAAGGGTGTGGACGCTCATAAGCGGTCAAAAGATTTGTAAAGAAACTCTCCAGGGATGTGATCATGCTTAAGTCAGGACAGTGACAGCTTTAGTAAAAACAAACAAAAAACCCACACATGGAAGACTTATGACATCAGCTGCTCAGACCTTGATAGCACTCTTTTTCATACATATACAAACATTTTACATATACATATGTATATATATATATATATATATATATATATATATATATATATATATATATATATATATATATGTATATAATAAAATAGGAATTGGATCACCTTGCTATTTTGCAAGTTCTCCTGCTTAGAAATCATGGGGGTCTTAAATTGTCAAATTGTCACTGTGAGACTATGTCCACTGTGCGGGACATAATAAAAAAAAAAAAAAAAAAAGTGTTTTTCTGCAAATGGGACAGGGCGACTGCACTTGTTTTAAGGAGAGGCCATGTATTGGGAGATTTTGTGGAACAATCCCCTTCCCTCAGTTGGAGCACCGAAGATGGATCGAGGCTGGGTCTCCCAATATGACAATGACCCGAAGCACACAGCCAGAATAACCAAGGAGTGGTTCTGTAAGAAGCATATCAGGATTCTGACGTGGCGTACCAACTTTCCAGACCTAAACCCAATAGAGAATCTTTGGAGAGAACCCAAACTCCTCAGCGACAGCCCAGAAACCTGACTGTTCTAGAGAAGATGTGTGTAGAGGAGTGTGCTGAAATCCATCCTGGCAAAAAAAAAACCCAGCAGGAAACGCTACTGTACCAAATATTAACCCTCTGATGCTTGAATTATGAAAGCCTTGATCAAGATTTTTTTCTCAAGGTTTTTTCTTATTCTTAGGACATGAAAAAACTTTAACTTTTTTTCCCCAAAAATATTGTTGTTTCATGAAGTTACAGATATGTCCACTGGAGTGGACTATGCGCACATGAGAACTCAATATAAAATATTATGAATTTATAAAAAAAAAAAAAGATCTAGTATTCTGTTGTAAAAAATGCAGACCATTGATTCATTTTATGCTTTGAAAAATATTTCAACATGTTTTGTTTAATTTTTTACATTATAAAGGCACAATGTTAAGAACCGAATAAGGAAACCAATGACACTCATAGCTTACTGAAGTGACTGAAATTCCTCAGGATCTGCTGCTGCCTTGAATGTCTCCTGAAGTGTACTTAGGAAGGGTCTTACAATGGGGAGCCTATATGTGTTTGCTGGGCGGTTAGGTTTCACTATAGAAACCATAGAATTAAAGAGATATTTACTTTGTAGTAGCTGTCCACTACAGTGACCACTATGCACCAGAGGGTTAACTAAATGGTAAATGGCATGTACTTATATAGCGCCTTTATTCAAGTTAGGAGACTTGACCAAAGTGCTTTACACTACATTCATTCACCCATTCACACACACACTCACACACTGATGGTGGCAAACTACATTGTAGCCACAGCTGCCCTGGGGCTCACTGACAGAAGCAGGGCTGCCGTACACTGGCGCCACCGGGCCCTCTGACCACCATCAGTAGACAATGCAGGTGAAGTGTCTTGCCCAAGGACACAACTACACTGAGAGTCGGAGTCGGGGCTTTAACCGTCAACCCTTCGATTTCAGGGCAAACTCCTACATCCAACGCCACTGTCGCCCCATTAACAATGATTCTCTCAGGTGTTGAAATACTTTATATATATATATATATACAGGTGCTGGTCATAAAATTAGAATATCATGAAAAAGTAGATTGATTTCAGTAATTCCATTTAAAAAGTGAAACTTGTATATTATATTCATACATTACATACAAACTCATATATTTCAGATGTTTATTTTGTTTAATTTTGATGATTACAAATGACAACAAATGAAAATCTCAAATTCATCATATCAGAAAATTAGAATATTGTGAAAAGGTTCAAAATTGATGGCCCCTGGTGCCACACTCTAATCAGCTAATTAACTCAAACCACCTGCAAAAGCCTTTAAATGGTCTTTCAGTCTAGTTCTATAGGCTACACAATCATGGGGAAGACTGCTGACTTGACAGTTGTCCAAAAGACGACCATCGACACCTTGCACAAGGAGGGCAAGACACAAAAGGTCATCGCTAAAGAGGCTGGCTGTTCACAGAGCTCAGTGTCCAAGCACATTAATAGAGAGGCGAAGGGAAGGAAAAGATGTGGTCGAAAAAAGTGTACAAGCAAGAGAGATAACCGCACCCTGGAGAGGATTGTGAAACAAAACCCCTTCAAAAATGTGGGGGAGATTCACAAAGAGTGGACTGCAGCTGGAGTGAGTGCTTCAAGAACCACCACACATAGACGTATGAAAGACATGGGTTTCTGCTGTCGCATTCCTTGTGTCAAGCCACTCTTGAACCACAGACAGCGTCAGAAGCGTCTTGCCTGGGCTAAAGAGAAACAGGACTGGACTGCTGGTGAGTGGTCCAAAGTCATGTTCTCTGATGAAAGTAAATTTTGCATTTCCTTTGGAAATCAAGGTCCCAGAGTCTGGAGGAAAAGAAGAGAGGCACTTCATCCACGTTGCTTGAAGTCCAGTGTAAAGTTTCCACAGTCAGTGATGGTTTGGGGTGCCATGTCATCTGCTGGTGTTGGTCCATTGTGTTTTCTGAGGTCCAGGGTCAACGCAGCCACATACCAGGAAGTTTTAGAGCACTTCATGCTTCCTGCAGCTGACCAACTTTTTGGAGATGCAGATTTCATTTTCCAACAGGACTTGGCACCTGCACACAGTGCCAAAGCTACCAGTACCTGGTTGAAGGACCATGGTATCCCTGTTCTTAATTGGCCAGCAAACTCTCCTGACCTTAACCCCATAGAAAATCTATGGGGTATTGTGAAGAAGAAGATGCAATACACCAGACCCAACAATTCAGAAGAGCTAAAAGCCACTATTAGAGCAACCTGGGCTATCATAACACCTGAGCAGTGCCACAGACTGATCGACTCCATGCCACGCCGCATTGCTGCAGTAATACAGGCCAAAGGAGGCCCAACTAAATACTGAGTGTTGTACATGCTCATACTTTTCGTGTTCATACTTTTCAGTTGGCCAACATTTCTATAAATCCTTTGTTTTTATTGGTCTTCAGTAATATTCTAATTTTCTGATATGATGAATTTGAGATTTTCATTTGTTGTCATTTGTAATCATCAAAATTAAACAAAATAAACATCTGAAATATATGAGTTTGTATGTAATGTATGAATATAATATACAAGTTTCACTTTTTAAATGGAATTACTGAAATCAATCAACTTTTTCATGATATTCTAATTTTATGACCAGCACCTGTATATATATATATATATATATATATATATATATATATATATATATATATATATATATATATATATATATATATATATATATATATATATATATATATATATATATATATACATAAAATATATATATATATATACACATATTTTTTTTCTTCTGCAGTTTTGAACAAGAATCACCAGGGGGAAGCATTTCGCCATGGAACACCCTTGTGGAGACATGTTCATGGTCAAGGACACCACAAAGTTATTACTTGACATCATCTTCTAGCAAAGCATATCAGCAGGAATGCTGGCAAAGACATACCTGAGTCTTGCTGGATTACAAAATCCAGTTAAGTTGCATTTCAAATAAAGAAATTTATTTATTTTTTTTTTGTGCAAAATATTTCTGAGAGATTTTCCCGCATGTTGCATATCCCAACAAATCTGTTTCATCTTTAATTCCAGAGAAACTAATTTACAGTCACCTCTGCGTGACTTAAAAAAATCAGTAACTTGGGATATCAAGAACCTCTGCTTTCTTAAATGTTTCTTTTCAATATAAAAATGACATGAGTCAGTTTTACATTGCTTTTTTTTTTAATTAGTAAAGAAGAACGAATCATGTTTTGTCAAACTTGGGACATTTGTAGAACTAACTTGCCTTCCATCTACATAAAATCTGTTGCTGATTTTTGCTGAAAGGTCCGTATGTCTACCTGCTTTTTCGGTCGCATCTCTTTTTAGAAAAAACTGTAGTTTCTCATCCAATTAAACATCTATTATGTAAGTTGTCAGCGAACGAGAGAGAGAAAGAGAGAGAGGGAGAGAGAGAGAAATCACAGCGATGAAAACGCTCTGAACACACAGCTGAATCCCTTATTATTGAATTAGCTTGCAAGTTCACATTATCCTTCAGAAAGTTAAATATATATATATATATATATATACATAAAAGAAAAAAAAATATATATATAGACAGATAGATAGATAGATGATAGCTAGATAGATAGATGGATAGATAGATAGATAGATTATTTTCAAGTTATAAACGGTCACCATGGATAGTAAAAAAACAAACTTAGCTTATCACTCCTTGAACCAGCCCCTCTTGACGCAAGGCTGACTAAGAGGGGCTGATTTAACTGAATGGGAGACAAAATAAAAACCCCTCCCATCCAGAAGATAGAAGCCTTTCAAACCTGCCAACTTCAGACCAAAGGCAACCTAACTAAGAAGAACAACGGTTGTGCGAACCTCAAAGTCAAAGGAATCTCAAAGAAGGTAAGCAAAAGAAAAAAAATACCACGTGGGATAATAATATATTTACAAGACGCCTAAGTAGTTGAGTCCTTCTTTATATTTAGATTTATATATATGCTTTTTTAGCTGTTTTCTTGAGGTAATATATATATCTATATCTATATATAGATATATATATATATGATACATTTTATATGTATTTATATTATATATGTTTTATAGATATTTATTTATTATATATTTATAACCAAAATATTGAAGAACACAACTTTCCTTTCATGACTGGAGTAAGGGGTGCAAATAATCTAAGCAAACCTTTTTTTTTTACCAAACATTTTTTATATTTAATAAGTTTTCATATTTTATTATTAACTTCCATTACCAAAATCAGAGCTAATGTGATAAAAATATAAAAACAGCAAAAAATATTTTTTATAATGGGTGGTGGTGATTGATGGTTTTATATTATTCAATTAGATTTTCAAAGTTTTCATATTTTATTATTAACTTTAAGTACCAAAATTGGAGCTAATGTGATTTAAAACATAAAAACAGTAAAAAAAAAAAAACAATTGTTATAATGGGTGGTTGTGATTGATGGTTTTATATTGTTCTATCAGATTTTCTCAGCTCATAGCCTATGCTAGTTTTATACAATGTATGGTAAAACCGTTTTACACTCATTTGGGGGGTAAATATTTAAACTATTGTCTCTGGGTTGTGAAATGCTACTGCCATCAGTTGGTATTTTAAATGATTCTGTTTGAGTGCTTAAATGGTAATTTCAGCAGATCACCACTTGTCTTTGTCTCAAATATTTATAAGCCCTAAGTGAGAGCAAAACTCAGATAAAAGCTCTGCAAACTGTTTTAATGCTGTCAGTTGATCATACTATATCAGAAACCCATTTTCAGGCTTCCTAATTTGAAAAACAAATGCAGTTGAGATTTTTAAAGACTTTTTGATAGAATAACAAACATGCTGTATGTTTTGTATTGCAGAAGAAAATGAAGCTGAAAAATTTATTAAAGAAGCTCGGCACAATCCTACGAGCCATTTTTACCTTCCTTTTTGCTTTGGCGGTTCTGGGAGTCATGGTATGGGCCTATGTGGCAGGCTTCCAGCTGGCTACATCCAAGTATGGGATCATTTCTTTTGGTTTTTATGGAGTCCTGCTCTCTCTTCATGTTCTGGTCCAAAGTCTGTTCGCCTTTGTTGAGCATCGGCGGATGAAAAGTCGCACAAAACCATACAGCTTCACTAAAGAGATTGGATTTACTATCTCTGCTTACCAGGAAGATCCCAATTACCTCAGAGAGTGCCTCAACTCTGTCAGGGCCTTGAAGTATCCCCCGGAGTTGATGCGTATCATTATGGTGATAGATGGCAACTCGGACGATGACCGGTACATGATGGACATGTTCAGGGAGGTTTTCTCAGACCAGGATCCAGGTTTTTTTGTTTGGAAGAACAACTATCATTCATGGGATCCCACAAAAGCTGAGCAGGATGAAGAAAGTGGGTCAGGAAATGGTGCTAACTATGTAATCGGTGAGGATCCTCAGAGAAAGGAAGTGGAGCACCTGATCCAGACCAAAAGGTGTGTGTGCATCATGCAAAAGTGGGGTGGCAAGCGAGAGGTGATGTACACCGCATTTAAGGCACTTGGATCATCAGTTGACTACATCCAGGTATGAACTTTTCTCAGATCCCAAAATGTATTTCTTAAGATCTTGAGAAAGGTAAGGTAGTTTCAATTTTTAAATGTTAACCATTTTTCTTAAACTCTTCTGGCTCTTCAGGTGTGTGATTCTGATACCAAGCTTGACCCGTTGGCCACTGTAGAGCTGTGCAAGGTGTTGGAGAGCAACCCACGTTATGGTGCTGTTGGAGGAGACGTGATGATCCTTAACTTGAAAGACTCTTATATAAGCTTTATGAGCAGCCTCAGGTACTGGATGGCTTTCAACATTGAACGGGCCTGCCAGTCCTTTTTCAACTGTGTCTCCTGTATTAGTGGTCCTCTGGGTAAGGAAATCCATTGCCATTAACAATAAAGAAATATCATTTTAAGTACTAATTCACCTCTGTAGAAACCTGACAAACTGTTCTTGTCTTTTTATGTAGGTTTGTACAGGAATGACCTTCTCCAGCAGTTTCTTGAATCCTGGTACAATCAGAAGTTCCTGGGAAGTCATTGCACATTTGGTGACGACAGGCATCTCACCAACCGTATTCTGAGCATGGGCTATGCCACAAAGTACGTCATTTTTTGCACTATCTAAACAAAAAGAGCTCAAATGTTAAAATATATATAGTTAACTGTAAGGGTTTTTTATTTCTTGTGTCTTAGGTACACGGCACGCTCAAAGTGCTACACAGAAACACCTGCACAGTTTCTTCGCTGGCTCAACCAGCAAACTAGATGGACCAAATCCTACTTCCGTGAGTGGCTCTACAACGCCATGTGGTGGCACAAGCATAACCTCTGGATGACCTATGAGTCCATTGTCTCAGGCATTTTCCCTTTCTTTGTCACGGCCACCATCATCCAATTGTTCTGGACTGGCTCACTGTGGGACATCCTTTGGGTTCTCTGTTGTATTCAGCTCATTGGGCTGGTGAAAGCAGCATACGCCTGCCTTCTTCGCAGAAATGCTGTGATGGTCTTCATGTCGCTCTACTCATCCTTGTACATGACCAGTTTGCTGCCTGCAAAGTACTTTGCCATTCTCACAATTAACAAAAGAAGCTGGGGGACATCAGGAAGACGGAAGATTGTTGGTAACTACGTCCCTCTGCTTCCACTGTCAGTGTGGGCCGCTGTCCTGTTAAGTGGTTTTGGATACACGATTTACAGGGAAAGTCAACAAGACTGGTCAATGCCTGCCAAGATAACGGAGACTAAGTTTCTTGTTTTTGGATCAGTGGCTTACTTATGTTACTGGCTGTTTATGATATGTCTCTACTGGGCTTGGTTCCACAGGTTATGCAGGAAACGTAGCCAAAGCTACTCTCTTAATGTGTAGATCTAAAGACATAATTCAACAGATATAAATTAATTTATTGTATTTATTTTTACAGTGCAAACTTAATAGGGAAAACAAGGACATCTCCTTTTTTTCAAATGTTTGGAATAAAATACAAATAATGTACTTATACTGAGATGCTTTAATGCATTTAAATGCATCTAAACTGAAGTTTGTGGGTTTATGCAATACTCAATCTGTCTTGAATAGGTGACGACAAAACAGACTGTCTGTTATAAGATTTTTGTTCGTAATATTTAAATCAGGGGAGAAGTGATTATTTGTAGAAAGACTTAATTTAATTATTTAACTACTGTCCATGAATTATAGCTGTGTACAAATTGGGAAGAATTAAGACGTCTTTTTTTTCATTGCACTGAATGTTGTACTGCATCTTTGTATTTTTGCACATTTACTTGAAACTTATTTATTACACTGTGAATATCCAAGCAGAAGAAGCCTGTTACAAATGCACTTTTGTCATAGAATTTCATGAATTGATGTAATTATTTGTGACATTGTTCTCATGGCTGTTCTTGGCTGTAAATATTTTGTATTGTGAAACTATGATTTCTTTTTTGATGAAAGAATATAATATAATAAACTTTTGTGAAAAAAGCACATATTTGCAAATTGATTCAATAGACTGAATTGATTAAAAAAAAGGACAGACATACTTTTCTGGCAAATTTCCAGTGTTAAGATGATGTAGTAATGATGGTAAAGGTATGGTGTATAGCCTCACCTGTTCTAAACATATACATGGTCAAACTCCCGATATATAAATGTATCCCTTTATTGTCCCACGATTGGGAAATTCACTCTCTTCATTTGACCCATCCCCTTGGGGAGCAGTACGCCACCATTGGGGGGCGCCTGGGGAGCAGTGTGGAGTTAAGGTTTTGCTCAAGAACTGAGAGCGTAGGCAGTGGGGGATCAAGCCGGGTACTTGCAACCTTGTCAGATCACAAGCGCACTGCTCTAACCACTAATCCAACACTTCACATATGATTATGCTAATAAAAAAAAACAAAGGAAAAAATAAGATAGCATATGAAGAGTCACATATTCCTTTTAAAAATAAATGCAAGATTATATAAAATAGGAAAACAATGTATGCCTTAAGGACAACACATCATTGATTTCTGCCGTAAAGATGCCTGATAGATGTTAACACAATTACATTTCCAGTCCTATAATTTAAATTTGGAAGGCAACATAAACAGCGAGATACATACCGATTCAGACATTATTGGCAGTATTACTATGGGCAGGGAGTTCAACATGCTTATTGGCCTGCTTTCAACAAACCCTTTTCAACAAGAGAGCCTCCTGTAATTTAAAAGCAAACTTTATTGATCTCACAGTTAAGAAATGTACTTGTGACATCAGCTCAATAGTCATAAAGAAGGAGCCAAAAGAAGGAAAAGGTGCATGGGGTATATACAGTGCATACAGTGGTATATATATATATATATATACTTAGATTGATAGATAGTTAGAGAGATCGATTTTTTTCAGTTATAAACAGTCTCTATGGACAGTAAACAAAAAACAAACTTACCTTATCACTCCTTGAACCAGCCCCTCTTGACGCAAGGCTGACTAAGTGGTGCAGATTTAATTGAATGGGAGACAAAATAAAAACCCCTCCCATCCAGAACATAGAGCCTTTAAAACCTGTCAACTTCAGACCAAAGGCAACCTGACTAAGAAGAAGAACGGTTGTGCGAACCTCAAAGCCCAAGGAATCTCACAGAAGGTAAGAAAAACAAAAAACTACCATGTGGGATAATAACATATTTACTAGAAGCCTAAGTTGCTGAGTCTTTATTTTTATATATATACACTTTCCTTTCATGATTAGAATAAGGGGTATAAATCTTAACCAAACACTTTTAATATTTAATAAGTTTTCATATTTTATTATTAACTTCCAGTACCAAAATTGGAGCTAATGTGATTAAAATATAAAAACAGTAAAAAAAAAAATTGTTATAATGGGTGGTTGTGATTGATGGTTTTATATTGTTCTATCAGATTTTCTCAGCTCATAGCCTATGCTAGTTTTATACAAATATGGAAAAAGCATTTTACACTCATTTAGGGGGTAAATATTTAAACTATTGTCTCTGGGTGGTGAAATGCTACTGCCATCAGTTGGTATTTTAAATGATTCTGTTTGAGTGCTTAAATGGTAATTTCAGCAGATCACCACTTGTCTTTGTCTCAAATATTTATAAGCCCTAAGTGTGAGCAAAACTCAGATAAAAGCTCTGCAAACTGTTTTAATGCTGTCAGTTGATCATACTATATCAGAAACCCATTTTCAGGCTTCCTAATTTGAAAAAAAAAAAAAAATGCAGTTGAGATTTTTAAAGACTCTCTGATAGATTAACCAACCTGCTGTATGTTTTGCATTGCAGAACAAAATGAAGCTGAAAACTGTATTAAAGAAGCTCGGCACAATCCTACGGGCCATTTTTACCTTCCTTTTTGCTTTGGCGGTTCTGGGAGTCATGGCATGGGCCTATGTGGCAGGCTTCCAGCTGGCTACATCCAAGTATGGGATCATTTCTTTTGGTTTTTATGGAGTCCTGCTCTCTCTTCATGTTCTGGTCCAAAGTCTGTTCGCCTTTGTTGAGCATCGGCGGATGAAAAGTCGCACAAAACCATGCAGCTTCACTAAAGAGATTGGATTTACTATCTCTGCTTACCAGGAAGATCCCAGCTACCTCAGAGAGTGCCTCAACTCTGTCAGGGCCTTGAAGTATCCCCCGGAGTTGATGCGTATCATCATGGTGATAGATGGCAACTCAGACGATGACCGGTACATGATGGACATGTTCAGGGAGGTTTTCTCAGACCAGGATCCAGGTTTTTTTGTTTGGAAGAACAACTATCATTCATGGGATCCCACAAAAGCTGAGCAGGATGAAGAAAGTGGGTCAGGAAATGGTGCTAACTATGTAATCGGTGAGGATCCTCAGAGAAAGGAAGTGGAGCACCTGATCCAGACCAAAAGGTGTGTGTGCATCATGCAGAAGTGGGGTGGCAAGCGAGAGGTGATGTACACCGCATTTAAGGCACTTGGATCATCAGTTGACTACATCCAGGTATGAACTTTTCTCAGATCCCAAAATGTATTCCTTAAGATCTTGAGAAATGTAAGGTAGGTTCAATTTTTAAATGTAAACCATTTTTTAAACTCTTCTGGCTCTTCAGGTGTGTGATTCTGATACCAAGCTTGACCCGTTGGCCACTGTAGAGCTGTGCAAGGTGTTGGAGAGCAACCCACGTTATGGTGCTGTTGGAGGAGACGTGATGATCCTTAACTTGAAAGACTCTTATATAAGCTTTATGAGCAGCCTCAGGTACTGGATGGCTTTCAACATTGAACGGGCCTGCCAGTCCTTTTTCAACTGTGTCTCCTGTATTAGTGGTCCTCTGGGTAAGGAAATCCATTGCCATTAACAATAAAGAAATATCATTTTAAGTACTAATTCACCTCTGTAGAAACCTGCAGAAACCTGGCAAACTGTTCTTGTCTTTTTTTATGTAGGTTTGTACAGGAATGACCTTCTCCAGCAGTTTCTTGAATCCTGGTACAATCAGAAGTTCCTGGGAAGTCATTGCACATTTGGTGACGACAGGCATCTCACCAACCGTATTCTGAGCATGGGCTATGCCACAAAGTACGTCATTTTTTGCAGTATCCAAAAAACTAGAGCTAAAAATATATAAATATATATAGTTAACTGTAAGGGTTTTTTATTTCTTGTGTCTTAGGTACACGGCACGCTCAAAGTGCTACACAGAAACACCTGCACAGTTTCTTCGCTGGCTCAACCAGCAAACTAGATGGACCAAATCCTACTTCCGTGAGTGGCTCTACAACGCCATGTGGTGGCACAAGCATAACCTCTGGATGACCTATGAGTCCATTGTCTCAGGCATTTTCCCTTTCTTTGTCACGGCCACCATCATCCAATTGTTCTGGACTGGCTCACTGTGGGACATCCTTTGGGTTCTCTGTTGTATTCAGCTCATTGGGCTGGTGAAAGCAGCATACGCCTGCCTTCTTCGCAGAAATGCTGTGATGGTCTTCATGTCGCTCTACTCATCCTTGTACATGACCAGTTTGCTGCCTGCAAAGTACTTTGCCATTCTCACAATTAACAAAAGAAGCTGGGGGACATCAGGAAGACGGAAGATTGTTGGTAACTACGTCCCTCTGCTTCCACTGTCAGTGTGGGCCGCTGTCCTGTTAAGTGGTTTTGGATACACGATTTACAGGGAAAGTCAACAAGACTGGTCAATGCCTGCCAAGATAATGGAGACTAAGTTTCTTGTTTTTGGATCAGTGGCTTACTTATGTTACTGGCTGGTTATGATATGTCTCTACTGGGCTTGGTTCCACAGGTTATGCAGAAAACGTAGCCAAAGCTACTCTCTTAATGTGTAGATCTAAAGACATAATTCAACAGATATAAATTAATTTATTGTATTTATTTTTACAGTGCAAACTTAATAGGGAAAACAAGGACATCTCCTTTTTTCAAATGTTTTGAAATAAAATGCAAATAATGTACTTTATGCTTTAATGCATTTAAATGCATCTAAACTGAAGTTTGTGGGTTTATGCAATGCTCGATCTGCCTTGAATAGGTGACGACAAAACAGACTGTCTGTTATAAGATTTTTGTTCGTAATATTTACATCAGGGGCGAAGTGATTATTTGTAGAAAGACTTAATTTAATTATTTAACTACTGTCCATGAATTATAGCTGTGTACAAATTGGGGAGAATTAAGATGTCTTTTTTTTTCATTGCACTGAATGTTGTACTGCATCTTTGTAGTTTTGCACATTTACTTGAAACTTATTTATTACACTGTGAATATCCAAGCAGAAGAAGCCTGTTACAAATGCACTTTTGTCATAAAATTTCATGAATTGATGTAATTATTTGTGACATTGTTCTCATGTCTGTTCTTGGCTGTAAATAGTTAGTATTGTGAAAATATGATTTCCTTTTTGATGAAAGAATATAATATAATACATTTTTGGGAAAAAATGCACATATTTGCAAATTGATTCAAGAAGCTGAATTGTTTAAAAAAGGACAGACATACTTTTCTGACACATCCAGTGTTAAGACGATGTAGTAATGATGGTAAAGGTATGGAGTATAGCCTCACCTGTCCTAAACATATACATGGTCAAACTCCTGATATGAAAATGTTTCCCTTTATTGTCCCATGATTGGGAAATTCATTCCCTTCATTTGACCCATCCCCTTGGGGAGCAGTGGGCTGCCATTGTGAGGCTCCTGGGGAGCAGTGTGGGCTTTAGGTTTTCGCTCAGGAACCCAGAGTCGAGGCTGTGGGGATCAAACGAGTACTTGCAACCTTCTCAGATCACTAGGCCAACACTTCCCATATGATTATGCTGATAAAAAAACAAAGGAAAAAAAGCATATAAAGAGTCACATATTCATTTTTAAAATAAATGCAAGATAATATGAAATAGGAAAACAATGTATGTCTTAAGGACAACACATCATTTATTTCTGCTGTGAAGATGCCTGATATATGTTAACATATATCAGGCATATATTTATGTAAGGCAACATCAACAGCGAGATACACACCAATTCAGTCATTAAGATAAGATGAGATAAGATTAACTTTATTGTTCCAAAGGAAATGATTAGGGTATAGACACTGGCTGCTACATAGTCTGAACTATATGCCACACTTCATTGACATATAAGAACATTGCTATAATATTCCATTATAAGACAATAAATAAATAAATGTTACATTACATATTATTGGCTGTAATACCATGGGCAGGGAGTTCAACATGCTTATTGGCCTGCTTTCAACAAACCCTCTTTTACCTGGACAAAGCAGGCAGCATTGTGATGATTATGTTGTTTTAATTTCTCTAGTCAATTTCATGTTATTTTTGCCAAATTGAATTCATTAGATATTGCATGAGACACAGATAGAGGCCTAAACAATCGATTTGAAAGTTTTTGAAAAATGAAGAATTGAGTGTCAAAAGATTCTCCTGTTATTTGACGATAGACTTTATTGATCTCACAGTGAAGAAATGTACTTGTCACATCAGCTCAATAGTCAAAAAGAAGGTGCCAAAAGGAGGAAAAGGTGCATGGGATATATATATACCATGGTATAGAAAGTCAAGGTGGTGAAGAATATAAATATTTCAGATTTCATCTTGACAACATGCTGGACTGGAGATGCAACAATCAGCAGTGTTGGGAAAGTTGTCTTTCTACGTGAACTAGTTCAAAGTTCAGTTCACACATTTTAAAATGAACTAGTTCAGTTCATAGTTCATAATTCAAAATTTTGAACTAAGTTCACAGTTCCAAAAAATGAACTAGTTCAGTTCTTTTTTTTTTCATATATTGCTCAATTACACCATAGCCTACTGTAGAACCACAGACAGCAATTATTTTATCAGTTGTAACACTGAAACTGTGCGTCAGATTTCATTTTCATATCCAGTTTTGAATCCTTATCCAACCAGGGTTTACATTAGCATTGAGGGGACAGCATTTCCCCATTGTTGCTTTAACGCTTTGTTGCTGTCCATTCACTTCACACTAGTAGCAGCTGCAGCTTTCACCCCTACAGTATATTCTCAAAAACATCAGGAAAAATGTGCTGCTTTAATGGTCTTTTTTATGAGGAATTATTAAAAGAAAAAAAGGAAAGTAGTCTTTAAGGTGCAAATGTTTTTTAATTTTAATATTTTTTTCAATTTGAAATTCCATTTCAGTACATACTAAAAAGGAATCCTGGAAAATTATACCAGGCAGGTTTAACAAACAAGTTACATGAATAGTAAAACCCTCAAGAACATTTTACTAACACAAGCTGAGGGACCAGGCTGAGGTAGGAATTTAAGGTTACTGAAGTGCGGATTTTTTTACTGAAAGCCGGCGGGCAAAGTTTGCAGAGAAATGTAAGATTGTTGCCATCATCCTCACCGACCACCTGGTCATAAACCTGTTTTAAGTGATCATACTGCTGCTTTTTCGCATCCACGGTCGCCTCCATGCTGCTGTGGCTTCCACGCTGCATTTTGTTTTGATGACGCACGCGGCTGTAGGCTACGACATTGGTAGCTGGTGTTGCCAGATTGGGTGTTTTTCCCCGCTACATATTATGGCCTGTTTACGGTGTGATTTAGCCGGGGTTTCGCCTGGAGGGCTCTATAGAAATTTGGCAACCTATTGAACGGAGTTGAACTGAAAGAGCGTGCCGTTCACAGACACCAGAAAGAACGAGTTCACAATAACGTTCATCAGGCAGTAATACAGTACGTTCAGTTCACGTTCGCCCAAAATATGAACGAGTTCATGAACTTTCGTTTAATGAACGCATTCAGGCACAACAATGACAATCAGATCATCTCAAGAGAAGACCATAGTTCTTGATCAAGTGTTTGCCTTAAATTGGTGAATGTACTATCTGCTGGGAAATGCTCTCAAACCTCTTCTGCCGATTATGAAATGAAGGATGTCTTAAAAGAAACCTATAATATATACAAAAAAGCCTTGTCATTGTTTTCATGATACTTCCATTCAACAGCAGAAGATTTCTGTCAGAGGTTTCTTCTGATTCTCTCAATACTTCAAGAGATCTATATTGTCCACAGAGCTTACTGCCCAAAGAACAACGGAAAAGAACGAACATCCAAAAAAGAAATGAACAAAATAGAAAGCTCCTTTACCATCTAAGAGTGGAAGTGTGTCAGAAGCAAATACAATGATATGAAAGCATACAGCTAAAAAATAAGACCAAAAAAAACTATAAACAGCAATAAAATATCTAAAAGGTAGAATAGTTTGTACACATTAAAGAAAACCAAGCCTAAAAGAAGAAGCAGTCTGCAGCAGGCCTGTCCTGTGGGCGGAGCAGAAGGCTGATGTGTGTGTATGGGGGTGCTCCTGTTCTGTTCAGGTGAGAATAATTTTCACTATTTCACCATAAAACTCAGGACTGTTTGTAGCAAAGCAAGAACGTTAAGATGCTTTTTGTTTTCCAATTAGGCTGTAATTAGTCTTTGTATCAAATGTAAAGTGTTAATTAAGCTTTCCATAAAGTTAATGGCAGAATTAATTGCTTATCATTAGCAGAGGTGGGTAGTAACTAGTTACATTTACATGAGTCACATTTTAAAAAGTGCTATTTTTAGGGGTATTTTACTGCTGTTATGTTATCCCTTTATTCAACACAATTAGTCCATATAAGAAAAAATATTTCTTGACTAATACTATTGCAAAGTATTGATGCTCTTAACTGAATGAAATGTTAGGCCTATTGTTACTCCTCTAGAGATAATCAAGGCTCAACGTCGTTCTTTTGGTTTTAACAGCCATTTATTGTGGACACGTCTTACAAAGCCCCAAAAAATGCCGTCAGAACTAAGAAGGGAAACAGAACCCAAATTAGCTCAAAACAAATATAAAGCTTTACACAAATAAATATAAGTAAAACAAAGTCATACCTCATTGGCCGCATAAACTCCAGAGGAATAAAGATAACTTATAAAGCTTTTCTTAGAAAATCAGTCTTAAAGCTTTCTGGTGAAACTTCTTGAAGAAACGTGCAAAAAAAAGAATTGTGAATCTTCCCATGGGCAACACGTGAAATGCGGAACAAAAAACATAGGTTCCTCCTTACATCTTAATGAGCTTTTTAACCAATGTACATAAACATACATTTACTGAAAGTTATTTATTTATTTATGATTGAACTTTTAATTTCAAAACTATTATGTATTAACTCTCGTTTTTAATTAAGTATTAGAATATTTAAATAAGTTGACTCTGATGGCAGCTACACTCCCACCAAATCACTTGTGATTTCCTTAATAACTTAAAAGAGTGTCTACCCTGCCTCCAACAATGTCACTTTCTTATGAATAGGTCTGTCCAAGTATACTTGTTTAGTCTGTCTCTTGCCATGGTTATCTAAGGAAGAGTCACTGATCAATAGCTGCACCTTTCGCACACATCCATCTTCACTTGGATAAACTGCTGTGACCTTAGCAAGTTTCCAGTCATTTCTTGGTGCTGGTTCATCTTTGATGACGACTATGTCATTGACTTTTGCATTTCTTCTTGTTTTCTGCCATTTTTGCCTTTGATGTTGACCCAACAAATATTTCTTTTTCCATCTGTTCCAGCACTCAGTGGCTAGGTATTGAAGTCTTTCTTTGACATAAAACGGGCCAAAACAAGCGCTCCCACGATGTGTGCATGGGGAGGTTGTTTCCATGCTCTTATTAGGCAGGTTTGCCATTTTCTGTTTTTCTGTTCCTTGTCTGGATTTCCTGCATTTGACACAGTTGTAGATATGGGATGATACTGCTTGACTACATCCAAGTATCCAAATGCCATTTGCTCTTATCTCATTTATTGTCATGCCCCGGCCCTGATGTCTCACACGTTGATGATAGTGATCAATCAGTAACCTTGTGATGTGGCTTGTCTTTGGTAAAATAGCTGGGTGCTTGACGTATGGATGAAGAGTAGCTTGCT